GAGGAGGAGGAGGAGGAGGAGGAGGAGGAGAAGAAGAAGAAGAAGAAGAAGAAGAAGAAGAAGAAGAAGAAGAAGAAGAAGAAGAAGAAGAAGAGAAAAAGGCCCAGAACCCACATCCCACATAAAATCCTGGGCTTTATGTGGTGCCACATGTCTCTTGCCCAGCACTTAGGAGGCAGAGGCAGGCAGATCTCTATGAGTTCAAGGCCAGCGGGATCTGCACAGTAAGTTCCAGACCATCCAGGGCTATGCTGTAAGTACAACCCTGTCAAAAGAGAGTTAATGTGTTCTTGTATTTCTGTAATGTCAGCATGAAAGGAGACAGAGACAGAAGATTCCCCTGAACTGTGTGGGCGGCTTGCAGCACACAGTGAGGCAGAAACAAGAGACACAGACTCAAAAGTGGAAGGAGAGAGAACCAACTCCTCAAAGTTGTTCTCTGATCTCTACATGTGGTCCATGGCACACTTGTGCCTTCACACACACACACACACACACACATACACACACACACACACAAGTAATAATGATGATTAATAAAAAAATAAAGTCTTTTATAATGTGTATGGCTTCTGAGGAATAACAATGAAAGATGGTCTCTGACCTCCACAAGCGTGTACACATGTATATGTACATACATAGTTTCACATACATACACACACACACACACACACACACACACATCTGTGCTCACATAAACATGCACACACACCCCAAGATGAATGCACACACACACACACACACACACACACATACAAATCATACACACCTTGCAATACCAACACTTGGGAGGCAGAGACATGATAATTAGGTGTTCAGTATCATAGCAGTTTGAGGCCAGCCTGGTTTACCAAAAAACACATCCCAACAAGCAAACAGTAACAGGGTTGGTGAGGTAGCCCAATGGATGAAGTACTCACTGCAAAGCCTGAAGACCTGAGTTTAATCTCTAGAACCCACATGGGAGAAGGAGAGAACTCACTCCTACAAGCTGTCTTCTGACCTCAACACTTGACCACAGCATACATGTTCCCCCATTCCCATAAATAAATTAGCAAAAACAAACAAACAGAAACTATAACCTACAGTATCTAACAAGAACAAAAACCCAAGTAGAAAACAAGGGGGATTCTCGATGTCATTGCACCACAGCTGCAGGCTTCAGTCTTCCAAGCCCCCTTTTCTAGAGAGCATTTGAGTACCAGGTGGATTCCACACTGAGTCTACAGGGTGTCGAACAACTTAGACTAGGTAGTAATGACAGGCTGGAGACAGCTGCCAGCCTGGAGTGTCTGCTCTAGAGGCAAACCCTTCCTGCCCATCACAACCATGACCACCACCACGACCACCATGACCTCCACCACAACAAACAGTACTACCATCACCACCACCACCGTTGCCGCCGCCACCACTACCACCACCACAACCACCTCCACAACCATCACCACACCTGTAGCATGTTTCCAGATGGTCCCCTGGTGCTTTCTGTTGGGGCTCTGGCTACAGGGAACACCTGACTTCTGACTTTGTTAGCAACCAGCCCGGGCTGTCTATTCTGGCACCATTACTGTCTATTCAGTAATTTTTATGAGACAGGATAGGTTCACTTTTGAAGCCTTGGTTAGCTCATCCACTGACCTGGACCAGCAGGCTGTGCTTCAGTGACAGGTTCCTGAAAGAGAGGACCCAGAGGACGAAAAATAAAGAAGGCAGGGAAATTTGGGACCAGAAGATTTGCACAAGCTGATTATTGCAAGTCCATTTATTAAGATGTGAAATATCATATTAGGGTTTTCAGGGGAAATGGGACAGAGTGATGAATTGTGTCCCCCAATATACTGTGTCTCCTAATAAAATTGACCTGAGAATCAGAGGAAAAAGTCAGCCACTATATAGAAGTCAGACAATGGTAGCACACGCCTTTAATCCTATCACTTGGCAGGCAGGGATCTGTCTGGATCTCTGTGAATTCAAGGCCACACTGGAAACAGAGCCAGGCATAGTAGCACATGCCTTAAATTCCAACACTAGTTAACCATAGAGGTCTGGAGGTCTGTACAGAAAGACAGGAAGTACAGAGCTGGGCAGGAAGTGATATAACTAGACAGAGAGAGCAAATCAGAGGGCAGAACAGCAAGGCATATAGGTATGGGTAGACAGGAAGTAGCTCACTTTTGGAAGCTGCGGAGTTAGTGAGGGGAGGTTAGCTGCGGCTTTCCCTATTTCCTGGATCTCTCAGGTTTTCATTACTATATCTGGCTCGTGTTTTTTATTTAATAAGAAACCGTTTAGAAATTCATCTACAACAGGATCAGCAGAAAACTAACACACAATGGGATGAAGTCAGCAGGGCAATAATCAAGCAATGTTGCACAAAGGGAACATATAATATCTCGAGTGTGTCACAGACATAGCACCCAGCAGTGTTGGGACTGATAACCATAGCTCCTTAAGAAGGGAAGAGTTGGGTTCCCAGCATCCAAAACGGCAGTTCTCCCAAGGCCTAGTCCCAGGCCATTACTGGCTTTGTCAAGCATATTTCTGGTTTTAAACAAGGAACTACATTCCTTTCGCATACATCAAGGCTTCAGGAAAGACTTCGATTAGCCTGGCTCCCGACAACTCAAAAAAGGAGGAGTACCAGGCGAGAGGATGGGAAATGGGGGAAGTAGAGAACAAGGTTACTAAGGGCATGATAAAGCCATGGTTAAGACTAAACTTTCAAACTGGGAGGCAGTGTCACACGTCCTTAATCCCAGCATTCAGGAGGCAGAGGCAGGCAGATCTCTCTGAGTTCAAGGCCAGCCTGGTCTACAGAATTCCGGGATAGCCCTGACTCCCCTGGAACTTGCTCTGTAGACAAGGCTGGCCTCAAACTCAAAGATCCACCTGCCTCTGCATCCAGACAGCTGGGATTAAAGGCCTGTGCCACCACACCCATGGTGATTGTTTTTAGACTCTAGCCAAAATTGTTTAAAATGTAGTTGCCATGTAACCTCTGGTCATTTGAATAAGAATGATGCCCCCCTTCCCCCAGTCTTACATACTTGAATGCTTGGCTCCTAGTTGGTAGAACTGTTTAGGAAGGATTAGGGGGTGTGGCCTTGTTAGAGGAGGTGTGTCACATCAGGTAGGCTTTGAGGTTTCAAAAGCCCACGCCCTTCCTATTTAGCTCTTTCTGCCTTTTGCTTGTGGGTCAGATGCAAGCCCTCAGCTCTTACTGCTCCAGTGCCGTGCCTGCCTGTATCCTGCGGCGCTCTCTGACATTATGGTCATGGACTGTAACCCTCTAGAACCATTAGGCCCAAATTAAATGCTTCTTTTTATAAGTTGCCTTGGTTGTAGTGTTTTATTGTGACAATAGAAAAGTAACCAAGAGATAACCCACGCTGGCCTCAGACTCTTGGAGATCCTCCTGCCTTAGTCTCCTGAGTGCCAAAATAACCAGTGTGATCCATCACACCCAGTGGAAGCAGTTTCTTTTAAACCAAAGGAAGTAGAGGATAAACTCTAATATTAAAAGCAAAGATAAGTTGGTTTTTGCAGGTAGAACTATGAACTATGGTAAATAAGAAGGCTCCTGACTGATAAATATTCCCTTCTTTTTTCTTTTTAATTAATTTTTCCCCCTGTGGGAAGGTTCTTTGGGGAGTTGGAGGAGTGTTGTTGTTAGTTTTTGCTCTTTTAGCTTTTTTGAAGGGCCCACCACCCGGCACCCAAATAAATCACACACGAAGGCTAATTCTTAATTATAAATGCCTGGCCTTAGCCTGGTTTGTTTCTTGCCAGCTTTTCTTCACTTAAATTATCCCATCTGCCTTTTGCCTTTGGGCTTTTTCCTTTTCTTACTTCTGTAATCTCACTTTCACTCTTAGTCCATGGCTGGCTGTGTGGTTAGGTGGCTCCCTCTTCTTTTCTCACTCCTTGATCTCACTCTTTCTTCCTTTCCTCCCAGATTTCTCCTTCTATTTATCCTCTCTGCCTGCCAGCCCTGCCTATCCTTTCTCCTGCCTCACTATGGCCATTCAGCTCTTTATTAGACCATCGGGTGTTTTAGACAGGCAAAGTAACACAGCTTCACAGAGTTAAGCAGATGTAACATAAACAAAAGTACCACACATTAAAAAATAATATTCTGCCAGGTGGTGGTGGCGCACACCTTTAATCCCAGCACTTGGGAGGCAGAGGCAGGTGCATCTCTGTGAGTTCCAGGCCAGCCTGGTCTATAGAGTGAGTTCTAGGATAGCCAGGGCTACACACAGAGAAACCCTGTCTTAAAAAACAAAATACAAAAAAAAAAAAAAAATAAAATAAAATCCTACAACAGGTGAGGGGAAAACATGATCAATATTATATATGAACAATTTATACATTATGTACACATAAAGTGCTTTGCCTGCATGTATGTCATCTGTATACCACGTGAATGCAGTGCCCACAAAGGCCAGAAGCAGGTGCTGGACCCACTGGGACTGGGGTTGCAGAGGGTTATGAGCCGCTCTGTGGGTGCTGCGAATTGAATCCGTCCTCTGGAAGAGCCACCAGTGTTCTTAACTGCTGAGCCACCTCTCCAGCCCTGAAGAGAAAAAAAAAAAAGAGTTTTCCTAAATGCAACTAAAGGAAATGTGCATGTGCATGTGCGTATAGCATGAGGAAAGGCTGAAGTCAATTGAGCAAAAAGGAAGCAATGGAGACAGTAAGACTAAGAGAAGAAATTAGGGAAATCAAGAATAGCAAAATAACAGAAAATTGAAAAACCCTAGGACTGAACCCTTTTTAAAAATCAATCAAAGTGATAAACTTCTAAAAAAAATTTTTTTTGACTGGTTGTGGCAGCACATGACCTTAATCCCAACACTCAGGAGGCAGAGGCAAGTAGATCCTTGTGAGTTTGAGGTCGGCCTGGTCTACATAAAGAGCTCCAGGCCAGCCAGGGCAACATACAGAGATCCTGTCTCAGAAAAACAAAACTAATTTTCTCCACCCTTGCGAAAAGCCTGACAACTGTTCCATCCCTGGAATCCACCAGGTAGGAGGATAGAGTCTCCAATCTACACACACACACACACACATACACACACACAGAGGCACACACACACACACACACAGGCACACACCATTGACAGTGCACACACAAATGTTTTTAAAAGTCCCTGAAATACTTCTCATTACCTTATTTCGTGTGTGTGTGTGTGTGTGTGTGTGTGTGTGTATGTGTGTGTGCGCGCGCGCGCGCGCGCGCGCGATAGAGCACACATGTGTAGGACTGAGAACCACTCTGAGGTGCTGGTTTGCTCATTCTGGTCATCAGGCTCCCCGGCAGCATCTTTACCGGCAGAACGGCTTCACTGGCCCTTTTAAATATTTTCAGTTACATTTCCTTTCTTCTCTTTTATTGAAACGTCCACAGTGAGTAAATTAGCACAGGGCAAAGTTCATCCAGGTGTAACAGTTTACCCTTAATCTCAGCACTCAGGAGGTTGAGGCAGGAGGATTGCTGAGTTTTAAGCGAGCATGGATTAAGCAGTGGTTCTCAGCCTTCCTAATGCTGCAACCCTTTAATACAGTTCCTCATGCTGTGGTGACCCCCAGCCATAACATTATTTCATTACTATTTTGCTACTGTTAATGAATCGCAATGTAAATATTTTTGGAGACAGAGGTTTGAACCTTTTTCAAAAAGGTTGAAAACCATTGGAATACAGTATAAGACTCTGTCTCAAAAGACAGACAAAGGCAATGGTGGCCTGTGCCTTTAATCCTAGCACAAGGGAGGTGGATCTCTGTGAGTGTGAGACCAGCCTGGTCTACAAATCTCCAGTTCCAGGACAGCCAAGGCTGTTATACAAGAAACCCTGTCTCAAAAACAACAACAACAAAAGACAAACAAAACAAAACAAAACAGAAACTATCAAAAAGTGATGATTTTTAGGGGTGCTAGTGATGGTTCAGCAATTAAGCTCCTAGGCTGCTCTTGCAAAGGATCCAAATTTGGTTCTCAGCACTCAAATCTGGAGGCTGACAACTACTTCTAACTATGAGTGTGTGTGCACACACTCTTAAATTGAAAATAAAATAAAAATAAACAAAATATGATGGTAGGTCTCATGACCTACATGGGCTCCAAGAATAAGAAAACCTGAATTGGTTGGGTGTTGGTGCACATCTTTAATGTCAGCACTACGGAGGCAGAGGCAGGCAGATCTCTGTGGGTTCAAGACCAGCTGCTTCACAGAGAAACTCTCTCTTGGAAAAACAAAACAAAAAAAGAAACCTTGGACCACTCCACCCATCCGCATCTACCCTAGAGAGGAAGGGTCTGTCCCAACTCAGCCCCCAACACTGACAAAACTGAGCATCTCCACTTAACACTTTTTATCTCAGACCCAACACTCTACCCCTCAAAAGTAGGGGGCTGGTTAAAGGAATCTCTCTTGAGTATCACCAATAAAGTTCGCTGCACCTGGTGGGGGGTGGGGCGGAGAAGATGACTATGAACACAGCAGATTGCTCTGCATAATGTGGGTGGGCCTCATCCAAATAGTCAAAGGATTCTCCCTCATTCCCCCCACCCCCGACCCCAGGGAAGAGGGAACTCCTGACATTCGGCTGTGGCCTTCGGATTTGAGCTTGGCTGCTGCCTGGGTCTCCAGCCTGCTAGTTCACCTTACAATTTTGGACTTCTTAGACAATTCCTAAAAATCAATCTCTCTATAAAAAAAATCTATACATCCTGTTGATTCCTCCCACCCCCGCCCGGGGACCCATTATCGGTCTAACCTAGTTTACTAGTACCACCCAAACCACAGGATTCTAGAAGTTTCTGCTTGACTTCTTAATCACAAACAGCGGTTCTCCAAAGCTCGCTGCTTGGAATTGCCTTCTTGCAAGGTGGTGGACATCAGCTGCCGCCATTGCCTGCCTGGGAGTCAGCTGTCAAAACTGTGCTCAACAACGCAGAAGTAAGCCTTTCATTAGCAGAAAAATGCCAGGCGGCTCAAGTGACACGGGATTCTGTCAGCTGCTAAAACTTAATTATGCTTCAAACTACATAAATTAGTTCAAGCAAATACGTTTGGAAACACCTGATTTCTATCTTGAACCTTCAGAGGATTCGTTGCAAGAAAGCAAATTACTAATGAGTTTTAAAAAAAAAATTCTTTTAAATTTCTTGACTGCGTCTCCCACAAAGATTAGTGCTTTGAGTGGTTATTTTATTTGCCCGTTCTGCAGGAAAATGGCTGTTTCCTCAATTAACACATCAGAAATGTCTACATTTCCAGAATAAGAGAAAGAAAATCTCCTGGGGGGGGGGGTGAGGGTGCTGGAGACGGCCTAAGTTTTTCTCCCTTACTCGCCTACTACGGAGACAAAAAGCCCTCTCGGGTTTAAGCGTTTCCCCAGCTGCGCTTCAACCAAATCTATCTTGGGCAGTATTTTCATTTCTCCACCCCTCTCTGGAGCCAATCCGAAGGACACAAATAGCCCAGAGCCCCCTGGGAAGGCACTGCGGAGGAACTGCCTGGTTACCGGGCTTCGCGCAGCTTCCAGGCTCCTCCCGCTCTGGCCAGGACTCCTGCCGGCTGGAAACTCAAGGCTGCGCATTGCGGCTCTGCGGCGCCGGGGACTGCAGGGGTTAACCTGGCTGCGATTCTTTCGTGTGCCACCTGGGCCTGGGCATCTGTGACTCATTGTTTCCGCCCTGAGCAGGCCGAGCTCTGCATGGTGGTGTCAGTAACCTAGGCAAAGGAAAGTTGTTTTTTTTTTCTTCCCTTTCAACATAACCAGTTTTCTAAAGCCGAGTATAGAAGCGGGGACGTGGGGTGTTTCTCAAGCCGCAGCCGTAGCCAAGGTTACTTGTTGCCTTTGAGTTGTCCTGCGGGGGACGAAGGTTTAAATTTACTGTCTGCAAACAAAAAGAGGCCCGAAGCCAGGGTTCCCTTCGTTGATGGCTGTGACGTTGGCTCTAGAAAAGGAAAGAAACATACTGGATTTCAGTGACATTACCTACAATCTGTGCAAACAAACATATTGGCCGATAAATTAGCTATGTCTGAATATAAGATCTGCATCAAATACAATTCGTCCGCATCTCTATTTCTTTCGTGAGTGTGCATGCTTGTGCCCCTGGGTGTCCTTGTACAGATCAGAGGACAACTTGCGGGAGTCAGTTTCTCCACCCACCCTGTGAGTTCCAGAAATAGTGCTCAGATGGTCAAGCCTGGCTGCGGGGACCCACGCCTGCTCATCCGTCTCGGTGGCCCTCCTGCATCCCTGTTTCTGAAGGAGCATGTAAATCACTCACATTCACAGCAAATCTTCCTCACTTCAGTCTCTTTAGGACAAGAGAGAGGCTGGAATTCCTGGACTGAGGGATCTTTGCCTGGCTAAGCACAGCTCTGCCCAAAAGCTTTGCTGGCACAACTTGGATGGCATTTTGCTATCTTTCAGTAGACTGCTGTGTACATTCTCAAATCTTGTTATGTGGCCTCATTCTATTTACCTACGTTTTTTGGTGTTTAAAAATAAAAACATAAGCCGGGTGGTAGCAGCACACGCCTTTAATCCCAGCGCTTGGGAGGCAGAGGCAGGCGGATCTCTGTGAGTTCGAGGCCAGCCTGGTCTGCAACGAGAGTTCTAGAACAGCCAAGGCTACACATAGAAACTTTGTCTCAAAAAACCATAAAATAGCCGGGCGGTGGTGGCGCACGCCTTTAATCCCAGCACTCGGGAGGCAGAGCCAGGCGGATCGCTGTGAGTTCGAGGCCAGCCTGGGCTACCAAGTGAGCTCCAGGAAAAGCGCAAAACTACGCAGAGAAACCCTGTCTCGAAAAACCAAAAAAAAAAAAAAAAAAACATAAAATAATAATAATAATAATAATAACGGCAGGGCATGCTGCTCAGGGGTAGAGTGCTTGCCTGGTATCTGCAAGGCCTAGATTCTACCTCAATAGGGCCAAAACAACAAACATCTAAAAAATGTTCAAAAGGAAAAAAGAAATAAATGCAGGGTAGTGGGGGTGTAGCTCAGTGAGTAGAGTGCTTTGTTAGTAGGCAAGAAGCCCTGGGTACAGTTCCCAGCACTACTTAAACTGGACTTGGTGGGGCAGGCCTGCAATCCTAGCCTGGGGAAGGGCACGCAGGAGGACTCAGCCTCTGCTACACCATGAAGTCCAGGCCGGCCTGAACCCTAGGAGACAGAAACAAACAAATTTGATGGGAGAAGGGGGAGCAAGAGGAGGGGGGGAAGAAGGGGAGAAAGAAGAGGAGGAGCAGGGAGGAAGGGTCAGAAAACAGGGAGGGAGCCCTGTGTACATCTGGGCAGTAGATTCTACATCAAACCAAGAACAGCATGCCACCGAGCACTCTCCTCATTACATTAAGCGACCCCCTTGAATGAATTCCAAAACACTGAGACTATAAAGACAAAGACCAAAGATACTGGGAAAGAGCAGACATAGGGCAGAGGGATTAAGAATGGGGCTTAATGAACTCACAGAAGACGCCTTTGTTACCCTTGTCAATTGGTTGCTGTCTTTTTATTTTCACAGTAGCAGGAGACTCCTTTGACCTCGCCTCGTTTCCTGTGATAGGTCTACTCTAGCCTATGAATTGGGTCTGAATCCGAAAGAATCAAAGTCATAAAGATTATGTCTCGGTCTTTCAGACCCACACTATAATTCAGCAATTTGGGTGTTTTCCTTAGGTTGCCAGAATCCTTTAAAGTCAGGTATCGAAATATTTGCTTCGCCTTTTTGGAAGGCTAATAAAAGCCTTCAAGATGCTACTTGTCTTGTTTTTGTAGGCAGGGCACTATTATTGCAGCATGCCTGCAGAAACAGTGCCAGTTTAAATGCCCCATGTCTCACATCTAACCAGAAGCAGTAGTTCTCTGAATGGGCCTCTTTATACTACATACAAGAAATCTGTGTGCAAAAAACAAACGAAAAACTCTTCACAGGTTTGTGGTGCTTCTACCAACAATATAACTATTAGGTCCAAAGGGAACCCCCAAACTATCTGAAGTGGGTGTGCCATTGACTGCGTGCAGAAATGATAGTGGGCTGGCTCAGGCTGAATTCTGACAGGATAACAGATTGCTGGCAGAAACGGAAAGTCTACACTCAGCATTCCTCAGGAACCTGTGAAACAGGTTTCTGTCTGTCTGTCTGTCTGGAGGAGCCTTCACTTCCTGGCGCTCCCTGCAGCAGACTACTGCATGGGCCACATGGTTCTCTATCAGCATATACGTATAATACATATCAAAGCCCCATGCTAACCTCCATGCTCCTTAGGTCCCTGTTAACTCTACTGACGTGTACCTGTAATGTATATCAAAGTCAGGCTCTTCTGGCCAGAACACTTACTTCCTCCTCTCCTCTATCCTAAACTTCCAGGTTGTTCCAGATTCCACTCCCTATCTTCAATAGCTACACCTTTCTCTTTAAAACCGAAACCAGCAAGTCCTGTAGGTAGTGGAGCTCACCTTTAATCCCAGCACTCAGGAGGCAGAGGCGGGCATATCTATGTGAATTCAAAGCTAGCCTGGTCTACAGAATGAGTTCCAGGACAGCCAAGGCTACATACTAGAGAGACCCTGTTTGAAAACAACCAAAAGCTAAAAAATAAACTGGACAAGTGTTCAGTACATGCCCTTCCCCTGTAAATGAGGTTTCCGGTGAGATTCTCTGAAAACTGCAGATTTGTAGATGAGAGAAGAGAAAACATGCCATAATTCTTTTTCCCCCAACTAAGTTTGTTCTCTGACAGTTTCACACATGTACATAATGCATACTAACCACTCTCACCTCCCACCCTCTCATCTGCCTATTATCCCTTTCTGCAACTCCCTTTCCATATCTCATCTCCTGTTCACATCTATTCCTTCTGTTTTGTGATCCACTGAGTTTAACCAGGGCTATGTGACCACGGGTTTGGAGCCTGGTGGACTCAGCAATGGGAGCACACTGAAGACAGTGACTTCCCTATTCCTGAATCTGTCAATAGTCAATAGTTCAGCAGTAAGGTGAACCCCTCCTCTGACTGACTGTTGTTGACAGGCCCAGTCTTGTGTGGGCCCAGGGCAGGCAACTGAAGTTGAGAGTTCATGACTATGATGGCTGTAGGAGTCTAGAGGACGGCATTCCACAGTTCTTCATTCTTTTAATTCTTGCAAGATTTCAACCTGCCCCGCCCACTTCTTCTGAAACATTCCCTGAGCCATAGAGGAGGTGGTGTGAATTGTGCTGGAATTCTTGCTTTGCTGATAGTGAGAGGCTTCAACCAGACTGGATGGGTGCGCCTTTCTCTTTCTTCTTTTGTTTTTCTTTTTCTTTTTCTTTTTCTTTTTCTTTTTCTTTTTCTTTTTTTCTTTTTCTTTTCTTCCTTCCTTCCTTCCTTCCTTCCTTCCTTCCTTCCTTCCTTCCTTTCTTCCTTCCTTTCTTTCTTTCTTTCTTTCTTTCTTTCTTTCTTTCTTTCTTTCTTTCTCACTTTCCTGTATTGATTGATTGATAGATTGAGATAGTGTTCATGTTTCTCTTTGTAGCCCTGGGTGTCCTGGAACTTGCTCTGTAGACCAGGATGGCCTCAAACTCAGTGATCCGCCTGCCTCTGCCTCCCGAATGCTGGGATCAAAGGCCTGTGCCACCACAGCCTGTCCAGTGTGTCTTTCTCCTCACATTTCCAAAATTTTTTCTATTAGAGCTTACAATAGTGGTTCTCAACCTGTGGGTCAAGACTCCCACACAAGGGTTGCATATCAGATTATTTACATTATGATTTATGACAGTAGCAAAATTAAAGTTATGAAGTAGCAACAAAAATAATTTTATGGCTGGGGGGTCACCACAGCATGAGGAACTCTTAGGAAGGTTGACGACCACTGGCTTACAGAGGTTCTCAATCCTTCCTTGTGAGCCATAGGGCCGGCCATTCTCCCTAAAGTCTGAGGCGAAGGGGGTGCACCCAGCCAGCTGCTCTTCCTCTGAATGCTCATAGCTATTCCACCACAAGTTTTTTTGTGTGGAGACAAGACCTCACTGTGTAGCCCAGGCTGGCCTCCGACTCCTAGAGACCTCCCTCCCTTCCTTAGTCTCTCCAGGGCTGGGAGTCCAGTTGAGAGCCACCGAACTTAACTTGCCACACATTTCATAAATGTAGAATTCTCTGAAGCATCCTTCAGAGGTAGGATAGAAACACAGGAAAACATTAGGGAACATGGTCACGGGAAAGGAACCCTTATCTAGGAATCCAGTTCAAGCCTCTAGTCAGCCAAAAAGCAAGAATTCCAGAAAAAAGGCTCAGGGCCTTTCTCCCTTCCTCAGCCATAAACCTATGATTTTCTAGGAATCTCACCAAAAAAAAAAAAAAAAAAAAAAAAAAAAAAAAAAAAAAAAACGGTTGTAGGGACAGGACATGTTCTAAGCCCTTCTAGCAACCCCACTAGCTTCTGGCTTTACTTTATCAGTATAATTCCAGTCAGTGTACCTCTGCAGTCACCCTATAACCTCACTCATCAAAACAAAGACAGGACTGGAGAGGTGGCTCAGTGAGAGGCATCTCTTAGCACTGCTCTTCTTTCAGAGGACCCTGGTTCGGTCCCCAGCTCCCACATAGCAGCTCCCATCCATCGGTAGGTAACTCTGGTTACTCCAGAGGATCCAATACCCTCTTCTGGCCTCCTCAGGCAATACACACATACGGCACACACACATACATACAAACAGATAAACAGTCTTACATATCAAATAAAAATAAATTTCTAAAAATTAAAGACAGGCTGGAGAGATGGCTCAGGGGTTAAGAGCAGTGGCTGCTCTTCCCGAGGCCCCGGGCTCAATTCCCAGCATTTACATGGCAGCTCACAACTGCCTGTACCTCCAAGATCTGACACCCTCACACAGACACACATGCAGGCAAAACAACAATGTACATAAAATAAGAATAAATAAATTATTTAAAAAATTAAAAAGACAAAAGAGGGAAAAATATTCCTTTGCCACCTTTGAAGCTATAACTGAAAAGTCACCAACATGATGTATATTGACAGCTCCATTGATCGTGACTCTCCCTGAGAAGCTTGTACGCACACTTGACTCTGACTCACACTCGGCTGTGCTCTTAAGGAACCACATACCCAGCACGTTGACAAATGTCTTCCTCCTTAGCTTCCCTTTCTTTTAACCCTCCTGTTCAAGCTTTTACCAAAACATCCTTATGAAAATCTCCAACTTTGATTCAAACTAACTAGGCCTCAAATTTTTTTTCTGCATTGAGGCTAGGAATCCTGATTGGACGTGAGTTGAGGCCCCTAAAAGGTTTGGGGGACTCCTCAGGCTGCAGAGAACAACAGCAAAGGGTGTCAGAGTCCTCTCAACACTGGCCCTTTCCTTGGAGAATCCTTATTTGGTTTTGCTTTGGTTACATTTATTTAAGTATGAGGAGCACGGGACCCACATCATACAGGCGGAGGTCAAGGACAAGGGGTTGGTCTTCTTCTGTGACCATGTGGGCTCTGGGGATTGAACTCAAGTCATCTGGATTGGAGGCAAGCACCTTTACCAGCTAAGACATCTTGCTTGACCCTTGATTTTTTG